GCGCTACCCTTCAAAGCCAGTTAAGACCATGAGCGAAGTCTTTTGCGTTTTCAGAATGAAGTAGTTTGACCTCTGAAATACGCTTGGCCGCTATTGACCTGGCGCTAGTGACAACAGGAAGAACCCGGTCTGTGAGTCTGGCGCCTGGCGTTTCATTCCAGTGGATCCAGTATAAGTGCTCGACGGTCAGGATAACTCCCGGGGCACCGCTCTGGCCGAAGCTACTGCTAGGAATTTGTTTGATCGAAAGGTGGCCTGAATTCGAAGAACTGGCGAAGTGCGCAGTAAAGGGTACATAGTGACGTTCCACTGGCTCTATAATTTCAGGTGACTGAAAAAGAAGAAAGCAGGAAAAGTAAAAGGAGCAGAAAAGGAAAAGGTGGTTTCTAATCTTCTTCCAATGTAACCTCTTTGGCAACCAACTTACTAGAGAATACAAGAACGAGCCACTTACCCCATCAAAATCTACAAGTTTTGAGAAAAGTTTAAGTAATTATCAAGAATCAAGAAAAAGAGACAAATACGAGAGAAGAACTATACTCGCATACCTCCGTCGACTTGAGGAACTTATTTTTGTTTCCTTAAGCACCTCATCGTATGCCTCCAAGAGATCAATCGTAACCATATCCAACCGGGACAAGTTCTTTTCCTGAAAGATAACCAGAACACAATCAGATGACGCAAATGAACAGTGATCGGCACTGATAATAGGACCAGTTCCGGAAATCATATCGAACAAACGATGCGATTCCGTAATGCTCAAACACTCCACGGACACGTGCCATAAACAGAAGCTGAGATAAGACCGAAACAGAAAAAAAGGCAAAACCTGCCTGCCTAACACGGTTCACTGCTTCTCCTCCTTTGATCGTCTCCTGACTCACAACAATCGCCTAAATACTTACTCTTGTTATACTTGTCTTTATGAACATTCGTTGGCACAGTTCAGCTGGGAGGGGAGGAGGGGGGTCCACTTTTGCTATTTCCCATCGTCGTGTCGAGCCAACATGTAGAAATTTGTGAAATTTTGTAAAGCTATAAAATGATACCAGTCAAAGTTTCCCGAGACTACTTGTCAACTTCTGTGAAGAATTCCTGTCAATTCTTGTCAAGCAATGAACACGACTATGAGAAGTAGCTAAAGCACCAATGCCCCCCCCCCTGAAATAAACTACGCCGATTTGTTCGGTAAATATGAAATGCTTCTGTGAAATTACTTATTTTACTCGTTATTATTTGCTCTTATCGATCAAACAAATAACCTAGATCCCAATAAACTACCCACTTCTAGATCTGGTATCCGGGTAGAAGGACCAAAAGGATCCTCAATCGCTTCGGCAATACAAACGACTGTATCAGCAACATCGTAAACGAATTCTTCAACTGCTCGGGCTCTGACGGAGATCGGCTCGATCAGCTCCCATAAGGACTTTTCTAAGGTGTGTATAATCAGCAATTTTGTTCACTTGGTAGGCAAAGAAAAGCAGTAACTCACTTTCAATCATCTCTTTGTGTGTCACTCCACAAACAATGCTCTCTTTTGCTAGCAAAGCAGCTTTCGAAAGCAGAACCTTAAATCTCAATAATATTCCGGCCCTCGCAAACTTTTTGGCAAATACTTTTAAAGAACATAATTAAAGGAGGATGTACTATTATTGCGATCAGGTGATTCGGTCAGTAGATGATACTCCATCTGGGAAAGGGGTGACTGCGTATTTCACTTGAAAACTGCGTGGGAATGTGCTTTCATGGTATTTCCATTTTGAAACAAAATCGTATTGGCCTTGTGCCTAACAAAGACTTGATTACACTTGTTCTAAAACGGCGCAGCATTCCTCCAAAAGCGCAACAGCCGTCGCGTTTCAATGAGTTACGTAGCCACGCCCACTCCTTCTCTGTGATAAGAAATGTACGCGCGTAGGTCTCATTCGCACTTTGCAAATGGGACAATCCACGATCAGAAGAATCCGATATCCGAGGAGAAGAAGAAAAGGGGGAAAACAATCAGCGTTGATTTCCCGAACCACAGAATTCCTCAAATAGCGTACCCTCCTGAACCATGGACTTCCCAGATCGATAAGTATTCTTTCCTCTGTCGTGAACTGTGAGTAAACGCGCACTGTCCACTTTAACACGGCCGTAAAGCGTTTGTAAGCAAGGAATAGAAGTGTACTTACCTTGTGACCATTGTGCAATCGGTCAAAAGTCCCTCCCAATACGACCTTTTTGTATTTCCCTTGGGTGACGGGAACATCCTGCAGCTTCTCGTCCCCAATGAGGTGAGCAGACTTCGGTATTTTCCTGCCCAGAAGGACACGAACATCCAATTGAGGACAAAGTACAGATGAGTGTAGGTAAACTGATGGTAGCACTGCATCTAAATCTGGTCCCTGGACACTGAAAAAAAGGAATTGAGCACCGACTTCGAAAAAAAATCTAGCGATTACCACTGAGTCAAAAAAAGATCCTAAAATTAGAAGGCGAGTGCCGCGTCTATGTCCCTTCCCCAGCCTAGGCACGAGCTTGGGTGCTAGACTCCTATTAGATTTTACAATATAAACCATTATTTTTCGTTTTCAATGATTTTTCTTCGAGCACAGACAACCAGAGTCGTTCCGAGCTAGAGCTTGGAAAAGCAAAGTCATGCGGCGCCGTGCGGCATATCTCAATTATTTCTACAAAAACTAGAACTTTTGCTCTCACTTAAAAATTTTCGAAAAATTCCCAAATTTGCAAATTTTCAAAACGTCTAAACATTGGTCGCAGTTCGGCTTGGTGTCCCATCGATCACTGTCTTTGTCTACACTTGACAAAAGTCTAGAGTCAGGTCATACCAAGGCTAGACGTGTAATTAAACAGGAACTACCAAAGAAAACCAACAAAGTGCAAAGTGCCCCCCTCCCTTCCAGCCCTAAGCAGAACAATGAGAGAAATTGTATATGAACTAAGGCTAGATGTGGAAAATTCTCGCTCACTTTTTTATGTTCTTTCTTTGACAGTTACATTTCACTTTGGTCTGTTCCATCCCTGGAACCGTCTACTTGACACTGGTGTTAAATGAGATGTAAGCCCGTGATCCCCTACTATTGCATTTTATTTCACGATTAAATAGTACTGTGAGTGAATGGACTCCTAGTAAAAAATTGTTTCATTCCTTAAATTAAAGTCCTCCCTTGAAGTTTGGTGTCAAGCGAATAAAAGTAAAAATGTGTCAAAAAACCACTTGGATTTTTCCTTCGCTCGTATTGTTTTGAGTAAACGTGGTCCTACCCTCCTAGACCAAAAACTGAAAGTCTTTCGTGATGTGCCAGGCCTGAAGTGATAAAAAAGTCTTGAGTCAGCTCTTTGGGACCAAAAATCGCCAGATAAAGAAAGCTGAAATCAATTTTTCGCGCTTATCGCTCAGCCATGAAAAAATGCTGCCTCTTTCCGAAGCGACTTCACCAAACGGCCTAGATCGATCGCTAAATAGAAGAAGAAAATAAAGGGATAAAAATAGAAGAAAGAAGTCAAAAAAAAGTAGACGTACCGGATGTAAAGACGTGATTTAACGGACTGAGCAGCATTGGCAAGCAAGGACTTCAGCGATGGCAAATTACGCGCAGACAGCACCAACAGTCCCACGTCGGGCATTTCTGAAGACATTTAGGACGAATCAATGCGAAATCGGGAACTACAATGGTGGTCATTCGGGATAGTATGTGAGTGAGCGTGTGAAGGGTGGCGGTCGACGATCGCCGGGCGCTGATGGACGCTTATCGCAGCCCTGGGTCATGCATTTGTGCCCCTCATGCTGATGCAGTCCTGCGGCAAATATCATCTGCGCCTTACTCGTACATTCTTTAATTGTTTAATATTTATTATTATTCGTTCATCAATTCAAGCGCTTAATCTGTTTTCCTTTTTTTGCGTAATACGGCAACGATCACAAGATGCCGCTTTCTTGGGAACGTTTCGCCGAGGACTTTTATTTTTTCTGTTTCAATTTTGTCACTGATTGACTTTTCCATACTTCTGTATGCAATCGGACTCTTTAATCTGGGGCCTTCTTGGGTAACAGTTTGTGGGAAACAGTGGCACGTTAGCCACTGGGAGCGATGTGCAGAAAAAACGGTGGCAATAATCACGTGAGATGGAACTTAGGCGACAGTACGGTAACTTCAGTAGGCGAACAATCGTACACCGTATCCCAAATGAGCCGTAAATAAATCTGGATGCACACCAAACACAGTATCTCACGACAACAGCGTAGAAATCGCTTGGGGAAGTAGTTGTTGCGATGCTAAGGATATCCAAAGGATTAGAACTATTGCATGTGATTAGAACGATTGCATGGAGTAGTGCTCGTAAGAACTATAGGTCCGTTGGATGCTCCAATAAATCATTTTTCTATTCATAAATGTACTTGTACAATTGGGTTTCAACGGCACTCGTCAAAAATAGTCCGCGTTGGCTCAGAATTTCTCATAGCATCGCGGCGGAGTCTTTACACATTTCTGAGGCATCTTGTTGAAGCATTCCAGATGGAAGTGTCACGAACTTTCGCGAAGTTGATTAAAATGGTACAACAAAATAGTTTTGCATGTTTTCTCCTTCACAGGTCACGCAATGCCTGATGTTGCTTGAATGAATGCGTTGATTATGATTAATGAAAAAAGAAGATGCTGTGATTAATGCCCTGCTTCTTTCCATGTTCAAGTAGTGGTTGCAATTAGCCACATTCTTAGACATGGTTCTGATAACAGTATAGCCTCCTTGTCTTGTGTTTATCAGTGCCTGCTTGCCTCCTGTTGGTTTCCCGCGATACTGATGACATGCATAGTTTTTTTTGAACAAAATACAGTAGTACGAGATCCAAACTCAGCTCCGTCATCGCCACGATGGCCATGACCCTCTCCCCCTAATCCCCGCATCCAACTCTTCGAGGCGTGGGCGTAGCCCCAAACCCTGTGCTTGTATAACCAAGATAAACGGTGGGACTATTCGTCTCGTCTGCAATCTACAAAACCGCTACTGAACCGCCACAACAAGCTCTGTTCACAGCTTCAAAAATAAGCTCGCATATGAAACCTCAACTACTCGAGCCATCGAGGAGCGGTGCTGAAATGAGGAGAAAAACTTCTGCGTAGTGCAACACTTTCGTTCACTAGTGTGGAAGGCAAAAACTTTCTCATTCCGATGCAGTTGTGTTGTTTTCAAAATCTAAACAGATTTTTATTCAATGAGAATCAAACAAAGCTACTCGGACTAGGTTGCGGTGAGCTGCGTTCATAATTCTCGTCTGCATTTGAGCGTTTCGGGCGAAAGGAACGTTAGCTATCGACCTAGGGTTTTGAAACTTCTCAGCGGAATGCTAGCGTTTTGAGCAAAAACTATAGTGTATGTGTCGATGCCAGATCGATAGCCATGCTATTCTTCTCGCCCAAAACGTCCAAAAATGCTCGTACGATAGCAACCACAACACATACGTGCATTGTGCATGCAACTTCGACGTTCTGTCGTGAGATGATGTGTTTGGTGTGCACCCAGATTTATTTACGGCTCATCTGGGGATACGGTGTACGATTGTTCGCCTACTGAAGTTACCGTACTGTATACTTGGCGAGGGGCGCTGGGAAGCGTCGAGACATCTTGCAAAGGTTACCTGACTCTCTGCTCGGGAATGCACAGCACATACGACAGAGTGCGGCTCGCAGTCGACATGTTGTGACACGTCGAGCGACGCGCTTTACAGGTAGAGTACTCGTCCAGACCACCAATCTAATAATTTCAGTTGTAATCATTAGAAGACGCCCGACTGAGAACTGGGAACATCAAGCCAACGCTAGCTCTTTGTAGGCCATTTGTAGAGACAATTCATTTAACGATTCGGACGAGTTGTCTGACAGGGTAAAAATGTCGCAGGACCTGTCATTACACGTCAGCAGCTATGTTTTCGCGTCATACGGCCGCCTCTTTGAGGATAACATTGGACTAGCAGCGAAGGAAGCGTTAAAAATAGTTCCACGTCCGCAGTATTCCTGCCAGGACCCAACTAATTCAACGAGGCAATGCTTCACTGTGTGAGGTCAACTAGCCATAATATGCTCTATGCTATTTTGCGCACAATGCTGCGACTTGTGGCGAACTACACCCATGGTGTTAATGTTTTGCGTGAGGGATGTGGAGCATTATTCCCATTCTCGGCGAGTGCCACGAAAAACCCCTTTCCAAACAGGGTGATGCACACAGCACCCAATTCACTCAACTTAGCAGTGCTGCGACGCGTCGACCCTCTTGATTCTCTATTCGTCTGCGTCTGCCGGACAAAAAAAAAAACAAACAGCAGAGGAAAAAATATAACGCCTACCCGCGACTTTTCGGTAAAACGAAGGCGAAAGCGGTGGCAAACGGTGTCACGTGCACGGCATTTGTGCACTGAAGTAGGGGAACGCAATAGACTCCAGTTCGCTACGGACAGCTGGGCGTGTCAGGCAGTATGAGTGTGTCACCCCGTCAAAGCCGTTCTTTGCCTTCATGTTGAAGCGCGCATGCGACAAAAAGTTGAAAACGAGTAATACAAACGATATGATACAGTCACATCATTTGCTCGCTTTAACAGCTGGTGTAGAACGGGTTTGGCACCGCGCCAAACTCATCGCGCCTGACACGCCCATCCGTCCTGCAGCGAACTACACCATATGTCGGGTCAACTAGATAGGGAGCATGAGTTGGCTTGTGTGCGTTGCGGCCACGTGCATCTATTGGACGTGAGCACAAGGTCTGCTTCTGGTGCTTGTGCCACGTTCTCATTTCTTGAAGAAAAAGTGCACGCGAGCCTAATCAATCGTAAACAACTGAGTAAAGTTGACAGCGGTGGGGGAGTGAGGAGAACGCACTCTTGCTGTTGACAACTCTCCCACGTTACCGTTCAATTTTGCGGTTTGTTTTTCATCTTCAGCTCCCGTTAATGTTTCCTCGAATATAGTTCATGTGTTTCGCCACCTAAGCATCACCCAGCTTACTGGCCTCGGGGTTGACCAAGCCGAAAAGATTGTGCCATATTAGTCTTAGTCGCTGTGGATGAAGGAACGTGTCAGTGAGGCTGGGTTTGGCGTTTCGTCAGCCCGTGCTCCACCAGTTGTTGAAGCGGGTAAGCAACAATTACTGGGGGGACAGATACCAACGACATGCTACAGTCTTCTGGCTTGCGGAAAAACGTAAAAAAAAGACAGGCTGCGCCGTCGCCACACCTACCGGCCACCTTGAACATGCCGCATAATCGCAGCGAGTAGAGTATAGCACTCCCAAGTATTCACGGGAGCTGTTGTGCACAGCATTCGCACCGGGAACGGCTCTCAGTAAATGCCTCGGATATAGTTGGTGCGTTTGCCCGTCAAGACAATAACAAATACTCTGGTAAGTCTGCGCGCTAAACCATCGACAAACGTTCCGGCAAACTCGGAGGTCATAGCGTCTCGACGTCTTGTTTGACCCTGGATTTTCTTTCAGGAATTTTCTTCGATACGTTTCTGTTCTCTCTTCAGCTAGTACTTCTCATTTCGAAATATTTTTCCATTTTTTGATGTGCAGTCGCCATGCAGTATTAACTGTGCCTACTAATATTCGAACCCTTCCGTGCTTTCGTGTTCTTGGAGAGATGGGAAACGCTCATTCAGAAGTTTCCGCAGGCTTAGCATGTTCTGGAACAACTTCGCGGGAATTCAAGAGCCTATAGGGGAACATGAAAGGCCCAGTCCACGATGATCATAGGGTGGGTTACACATAACCGCCTTCCTCGTTGCTTCGTCCTCTCCGATACGGTAAAGAACCCGGAGTATCCACCCCTCGAGATGAGCGTGTAATGTGGCCTTAACTACAAGATTGATTCAGGTCGCCTTCTTGGATCCAGGCACGCGAGAAATTGACTTTGCATACATAATTGCAGTAATATTTTGAGAGAACATTTTGCCTACCCAGCGAATTACGGCGGCCGGCCGATTTGAAGTCAGTGATTTTATTCTCCCCAATGATTCTGGTACCATGTGTTGTGGTAATGATGGAAAGCCGTATGGATTCTTCGATTTTCGGTTTTGTTTGCCAGCCAGCTGCCTTTTGGGCAGATGCAGTGTTCTACTATTATAGGTGCGAATATGCTCCTTACAATTTTCAATTACCGTATTCACCTGTTATTGTAAAAGGCTTAAAGGACAAAGTCTTTGTAGTTGATCAACCCTGTTGGGATGCGACACGCATTCTACTTCCATTCAGTATTGTAATGACTGATTGAATGCGATGTACCTATACAATGACTTGCGGGGGTCATGTCAAGTTACGAACTAGTGTTCTTATCCTCCCCAACGAATTTGTGGTACGCGTATTTCGCAGGCGGAGCGTCTCCGGAAGGTAGAGAGACTTGGTTGGCCCGAGCAAGGAGCTGATTTGGGATTTAACCTCCGGGCGCACTGTTCGGTAAACGGACCACTTCTCACTAAATCCTCTGCGCCTCAAAAACATCATACCGGAATGGTCTCTTCTAGGCAAAAGTTCTCAGTAAGATGTGGAACATCTGAGTTCGGGGAATGTCCATCTCTTCAGGGTACAACATTGGGATTAGGGCCTCCCCAGAAATTTTCCCTCCCAGTACAACCTCCCCTGCCCCATACCCACTGCTTCACACCAACTCTCTGCCAATTTCAGTTCCCCGAGTTTTTCCAGTTTTTCTGAAAGAGCGGCGTTGAGCGGAGGGGAAGGGGATGTCGTCACCAAGTAACAATCAAAATTAACTATGAGTAGTAGCAGCTGCATAAGTAGTTCATCGGCGCCGATAAATGGGGAGTCTCGCGCGTGTGAAACAGGAAAAGTCGCGAACAATCAACAGCTGGAAAATGTTTTGCCGCGGCTTGGAAGATTTCTCTCAAATCCAGCTTAGCAACACACGACCAAATACGACCGCGCAGCGTCAAAGTACGGACGCCCAATTGGGATTCTCAAATGGTGTACCCTGCTCGCAGGAGCTGCAGTATTTCGCCGCAGTCTGTCCCCCAGCTCAACAGCTGATATGTATCAAAACCGTTATCGCCAAGTTTCATGTTAGACCTTTTGGATGCTGTTGCTACATCAGCTGTGCTCTAGTCAGTTATTACCCTGCCTAATGCACTTTCGCTGCTGAAACCGCGTTCGCTAACCACAGCCGTTTTTCGGAGAACTCATTCGCCATCGTTCCCGAAGAAACTCGTGTTTGCACTTTGGTATGGTGTGAGAGTAACATTCCTCTTATTAGGTTGTTCGAAAAGTCCTGCGACACTTTGATTAAATTGTTCTAGAAAAAGACCAAAAATCATTTTGGATGTTTTTATCCCTGATTAGTGGAGAGTGTCCTCTGGGGTTTCTGCACATGGGTATATCATGACTTTGAGGAAGTTTTCAAAGCTTAAAAGTCCCCCAGAGATCGAGGTACTTCTCGACCTGTCCCATATTATGAGTTCCCTAGGCGCACTCCCTACCCCGTTTTTGTTTTTTCCACCCCCCCCGCTGTCTTGAGGAAGGATATCGCTTGCCATAGCAGAGAGTTCCTTTTGCATCAGCGCTTCCAGGCTGGACTTATTCAACTCGGAAGTAGGCAATGTATAGGTCGGCCACCAGCACAGAATGACGGCCCTTTACTCAAGCTTCTTGAGGCGCAGCCGAACGTAACCACCAGTAAGTTGGCAACCTCTCTAGGCTCCACCTAACCGACAACTGCCATGCTTCTCCGCAGTCTCGGTTATCGGAAAATTTTTTTATGAAGGATGCCTCATGAGTTGAACCCCTCTGACAAGTCATACCGAATGACCGTGACTGAGTTTTTTTTTTCCTTGTACACACTGGAGGAACATTTGTGAGATCTTGTGGTTGGTAGAGAGTGGTGGGGTCCTTGCGTACATCTTGCACATGTTCCTCGCAGGATCTCTCAGAGAGAAAAGTAGATTGCACAGCCAAAAGCAGATGTGCATGGGATAAAGATTTCAGTAGGTTATTGGTGGGACTTCAAAGCGGTATCTCTGGATACTAGCATAACGGTAAGGACTACAGTCCACTCTAACCAACCTCACAACATGGATGACGTCACGCTTGAATTCTTCAAAAATACTCAATTTTTCTCTACCGCTCGGCAATGCGAAGACCGCATGTTAGGATCAGGCCACACCAAAAGATCGTGGATCTTGATCTGAGAATGCGACCATACCCAGCTTATTCATCAAAGTTAGCAGTCTCTAACTACTACCTTTTTTGATCCCTACCGCATCCTTAAGAAGGCAAAAATTCCGAAAATCGACGTCTACTCAAAAATGAGTGCTCCACCTCTCTTATCATATGTAGTTGCCGTATGTTCAATAAAGAAATGAAATGAGTATGCTGTGCAAAGCCAGGGCACTAGTCCTAGTCCTTAGTGGTGATTACCTTGTAGATTGGAGATGTCTTTTAGTGACTGAAAATTTAGTCCGAAAAATTGGTCAAAGTGTCGCAGGACTTTTCGAACAACCTAATACTATTCAACTTATCTTTGGCCGTTTTCAAAAGTGAATATCGTCAGACTTGAAAGAATGCAGTCTCCATTACCAGTTGCACTTGTATACAATTAGTGCACCACTAGAAAATGGCCCTGGAACTGCTCCGAAGTTCAAAAACCACCTCCTCAGAGAGAGGAATACTAGCGGTTTGTTCTGAACTGAACTTCTTTGGCACAGTTCGACGCGGGGGGGGCATTTTGCACTTTCGCTACCTTCGTTGTCGTGCGAACCATCAAAAAGAAATCTGCGGTTGTGAAGTGCATACAAGTGCACAGTTTGTAAAAACTACTTGTCACTTTTGTCAAGAATAACAGTTAACTCTTGTAAAGCGGGGGAGGTCGGCGAACGTGCAAAATGCCTTCCCCCCCCCGCCTCTGCCCTCCGCGCCAAACAAACATCCCTTTCGGCGCCTTTCTTTCTATTTCTTGTTCCGATTCCAATCCCTTTTAGTAAATGATCAATTTATTCTCTACGGAAATATGTACATAAGAACAACAAACAATGGAAATATTAAAGAAAACAAAGCGGATGCAATTTGCGAATTCTCAGCCAAACCTCGACCAGGGGCGAGGTCAAAACACGGAACCACTCGGGTTGGTAAACAATCTGGCACAAATTAGATTGGCAGGCGAACTATACACAGACCCCTGTCACTGTCCCTGATTCAGGCAACCGGATGGGGTGGTCCTACAAAAAAAGACCGGCGGAATGTGACGCGTAGGACGACATCGCTATAAGCGGAACTGTATTGGCTTAGGCGATTGCATTAAGGAGTAGATTGATCGATCCTAACGTATGGGTAAGATTCGTCGATAGTAATGGACCGCCGAAGCGATTGAACGGAAGCATGGACCCTCTCCGATCACCCATTTGTCGCCCCGTCGCTCGAGCTTGATGTGTAGGACTCCGGTAGCACCACGAAGCGACAGAGCTGCACTTCCCTCTCCTCGCGATCTGAATTGGGCAGGTTCTCTTTATGGTGTAATGGCTGAAGTGAGTCCTTACCTCAACAAAAAGTCGCCTAGCCCTCGACTTTCGAGAAGTTTTTCGGCTCCCACTCGATCGATGTTCCTCTCCAGAAGCATCTCCTCCTCATTTCGCGACTCAACCTTTCGTGGCCGCTCAACCCTCAGTGAATGACGTTTCGATTCCAACGGCGAATTTCCAATGTGAACTAGGCGATTCGAGAAG